GTAATGGTACTTATAATAGTGTACAGAGTATGAAACAGTACTCAACGTTTGGTGTATGACACGGATTTAGAAGTTGAAACAAATAAGCTTACAAAAACGAAGAAAAAAAAACATACTTAAGAGAAAAGTAGCTAAAAGGTGTTTATAGCAGTATATGAAAGGAACTGAAACTAAATTATTGCAAAGTAAAATAAATGTAAAACTGAAATGAAGGCAAACTTAGCTGAATGTGCAGAAACGTCTGATTGCGTGTTCTCAACGTGATAAGCATATAGTTTTATACGAACTGCGCATGCGTAATTTAGACTTTTAAAAAGTCGAGAAAACCCATAGCAATTGTATTTAGTGTAATGTTCATTTTTGAAGGAACTTACATGCTGGTTAAGTGTTGTTTGTGTGAAATACTTTGCAAATAAAAAACTAAAGTTGAAATCGAGGCCAGTCGTCACGTGATGACAACGTCATTGTGCCATCGTGTAGCATATTCCTTGCATTAAAAAGCTTGACTAAGCAAAAAGTAGGTAAGATGATTCTGAAAAGAAAGGCCAGTATGCAATTCGGACTCCTCCTACAAAGGCCCTTTTTAACGATATGAGATTTGTAGCGTTTGATCGACAAATTTGCGAGAAAAGTTCCAGACATACAAACGCAAGCATATTATTTAGATATTACACTAATATGAAGACGCTGACCAGTTGAGGTGAGTTTTAATAGAAACGTTATCCAATTATTCAGTAGATCTGCATGACAGACCCCCCCTACCCCCGCAGGAATCTTCGCTAGTATATCTACGAACGAACGAAAACCTATGCGAGTTTTTAGGTCTACTTTTTGACCTGGTGGGAGTCAAGTACAGATATGACCTCTTCTTCCTATTATATCTAACATATTATAACCACCACATTTTAAATTTACCTCCTGTGAGCTGGTTGGTCCAACTTCCGCAGTGACAAATCCTGACCAGTAATCTTCAACTAACACGGCTCGTGAAGGCGTGTAAGGTTTTACTTGCGTATGTGGCGCCCTCTGAGTCATTTCACTAGCAAGGTAGGGAAAAACCTTATCGACAATTTCATTAAATCTCTGTTCCCAATCAGCCTGTTTCCCACTGCCACCATGTCCGCCAACTCCTATTTGAAGTTGAAATAAAAAATTAATGTTAAAAAATACCTGAAATCATTTCAAATATGAAACTTCATTTACCTCAGAACCACATTTTCCCTAAAATGTAACTAAAAGACTTACTATCTATTAGTTGTTGGT